ACAACACACACACACACACACACACACACACACTATATATATATATATATATATATATATATATATATATATATATATATATACATATATACATACATTCATAAATGCAAAGTATTCGTTAGTCTTGCAGCAGATCACATGCGCAATTTAGTCTTAAAGTATTAGACATGCTCGCCTTTTGTTTGTCTGTGCTAATATATATTCTTAGTATACTCGGTCACAGGTGTTTCTAAACTCTGTGTGTTATCCGCTCACTATATCAGCAAGTTCAAGATATTTGTCGAACTGATTGCAGTAATTTTTAGCTTTGCATCGAACCCTTTGTTACTATCGATGGATATGAACATATTGCACCGTTCCGGATCTAACTCAGTCGTTCCACCTGCCTCCTCCTCACTACCTCCCTCGCTATCCTCGTCATCGTTTCTATCGAAAGCACTTAATTGACCCTCGCTATACTTGTCCACTAAGCTGAGGGACAGAGCAAGAGCTGGTGCCTTTGCTCCAGTCATATTTTAAACTAACTACACACACTGAAAGAAAGTGTTTGAACGTGTATACATACCTATTATTACTATTAACACTATATAAACACGTTCATAGTATAAATATACAATTGTTGTATTTGTGTATGTAATTCTCTATGATATGAACACTGAAAATATACTATGCCAGTCGGTACAATAACATTGTGAATTTTTGATGATGTCAGAACGAATCTAGGATTTGACCGTTCAGTAGCAAGCTTGAATGCACACCTAATAATAGACATCCACTTAAATTTAAGCTTTGTGACAGTCTATTTTAGTATGGGCCACTGTATGATAAGCTTGGTGTATCCTGGCGTATTTAAGATATCGAATCATATGCAACAACAGCATTCTCAAATTATTGAATATAAACAGTTTTTGTTCAAAACCAACTGTGGAAAGCCAAAAAAAACTATATAATATTTTTTTATAGAGCTTGAAATAAACTATTGTCTACAGAGTATTCCACCTGGGACACTGCTACGGCGGGCGTGATTGACTTGATTCCCAACCACCTTTGTTGACAGTCCAACTTTACGAAGTACTGACTTTAGAAAACTCTTTTTTCGTGGGTAATTTGGATGCCGCGATGGCTTGCTTATCACTTGACTTGATTTACCATCCCCCCCCCCCAACAAATCAAGGCCACTGTCACCAAGAATCAGCGTCTGCCCTAAACTGCATCTCCAGGCGGCAGATTTTTTACTTTTGACCGCTAGACTTCTGATACTTATTTGCGCTGACTTTCTTTCTTTGTCATCTGAACCGGTGTGAGATCGACGTAGTATCCTATGTCTATAGTCATCCACACTACTTTGATGACATAAGAGCGTATTTTCATATGCAACAGTGTGACTAGGATTTTGCATGCCACTTCCAGCTACTGCTTCCTTGATAGACATCTTGGCAGATGGCTTTATATCCCGTGCCCGCTTTCTAAATAGTTCGACAGATCCTATCTGGTTGTCTAACGCCGGAACGTGTATATCAGTAGGTATATGAGTTGATAGTGAATGTTCGCAGGGACCCGTCAACCTTTCTCCACCGCGTCCTGATAAGTCAGCTTCCATAAAAGCACAGATTGCGCACCGATTGCCGTCACCGAGTAGATGTTCGAAAACTGTCATGCTTCTAGCGGGTTTCTGTTGAGTTAGACTGACAATTTCACCTTCAACATCTCCTGATATGATAGGCAGCATTATGTCTCGAATCATGTAATCCAAACTGACACTACTGATCGCCACACCAGACGTAGGTGGCGCGAGATCTCTATTATCACACCGTGGAGTCATTGTTTCCTCTGTCTTCTCGGATTTTATGTATTTCATTTGTAAGCCTTAAACGCAGTGCGTAGGGCATATATATATGTATTTATGGAATATGGATACATGTACGTTGAAATCTCATACTCTCGCAGTTGAAACTTGAAACTATAGAGATAATGAAACAAGAAGCAGGTATTTAGTATTTACTTCCGCAATTTTGAAGATATTTTGAAAAAATCAATAAATTTAATAATATACTCCCACCACGCTCAATAGAAATTAAAACCCTGCGCAAGCACGAGCAAGCAATATACACAGCAGCTGAAAACTCCAATCGAAATCACCGACACCCACAAAGAGATGTCTGCTTCAAATTCAAATTGTCCTGTGAAGACTGTCGTCGACTCGTCTCAGACTCGCAGTCTCAGACTCTCAGTCGTCTGTCATACTGGGGTCTGTCACTGAAGTCCTGAGACCTGCAGACTGAAGTATAAAATAATAGTCGGATATGTATGTAAAATAAATACGCCTAAAGTCCTGAGACCTGAAGACTGAAGTATAAAATAATAGTCGGATATGTATGTAAAATAAATACGCCTAAAATAACGGATAAGTGATAGCCTCTTGTGTCATTCACTCTTTCCATTTTTTGTTAAAAACAAATGTTTTATTTTGCTAAAAATATCATTGCTTTTTCTGATTTAATTTAGACGGCTAAGCTTCTTCTTCGACTTGATTCTTCGAAACCTCTCAGGCTCTCGATGGTATTTACTTAAATGCCGAGCAAGTCAGCAAGAAGCCAAGCATGTACTTTTGAGGCACTCCGCAAGGCGCAAACCAGTACTCCGTAGTGCCCCGTACTCAGTACATACTTTTACTACTGACGTACTCGCAATGAGAAGACTACAATACTATATTTATATATATATAGAGTGGACTTGTGGGAACTGTAAAAGTGAAAAAAATACTTTATGGATTACAATATAGTTTTTCAAAAACAAAAAAACAAAAAATATGTACTGGTTATCTTTTATTTTTAAATAAATAAATATTTATACTGCAAGTTTGGATTAAATTTGAATGGGAACTGGGAAGTTTGGACTTGGGCGTACGTGTTTGTTTTATATATAATAAATATTGTATAAATAAGTATATAAATAAATAAGTAGTGACAACTGACTGATTGGTTTGTAATTTGGATACATAAATATGTACAGTATGGTACAGTTGCCTTCAGATAGTCGGCCAAATGTTTAAAAAAACCCCCCCCGAATTTCTCACCGAAAAAAATAAATTTCGCAAATTAGAAACTGCCATAAAAAAATTCAGCCATTTTTGGAGCGGCCAATATATGGACCTGGGGCGGCCAATATATCCACCTGGGGTGGCCAATATTGACACTGCCCCTGGCCACATGTCTCAGAACTGATTACCCTATGTCTTTTAAAAAAAATAGAAGTCTTTCGTACAGAAAAGATAATCTGTTCCAATACGAGATCTGTCCATACCGAATGGATGATGTTTTAATTAAAGCTGTCTCCAGGTTATAGTAAAAAATAAAACAGTACTTGAACTTCTGCTGGCTCATTTCTTATTAGCCATCTCGGCAGTGACTATTTCATATACATTCTCAGGTACACGCCGATGAGACGTATATTTCTTTTTCGAAAACGCTGCAAGTTGCAGAGTAAGACCCTTACCATAGCAAACGAGGTAACGACAGGTACCCCTCACAAAGCATCTAATTGTATCCAGTTTAACATTGTTCAGAGCTTCGATGACATGTTTTTGAAGGCCTGCCCACGTATCATCGCATTTTTCTCGCACCTCAAATTTGGCTCGGCCCCAATATCGCTCGATGGTGTTGCACTCGCAATGGAACTTCGGGAGAAATACGCATATGTAATATCAATTCTACTGGGCTGCACTGAGCTTAATATCAATACTACTGTGATTGCTGCACTGAACTCAAGGATAGCGTTAATGTGCATGTCACACACATAAATAAAATTTCGACCTGAAGGAATACCAATATTAATATTTTGACAGTTCGACAGATCTCATAAATGACCGGGCATGTCGATTTCTGGCCTCAAAAGTCCAAAATTCGTACTGGAAGGGTAAATACTGAAAAAACGGCCAATATTTTCCAAATCAGTCAGAATCAGGTTTTGAAACAGGTGCAATATCAAAAATGTGTCAGGGTGATATTTCAGATCTGGTCTCCCTGAGCATTTTCCGCCATCAAACTCTCGATTTCGAATCGGGTTATTATTTCGTGCTCCATGGGTCGAGGCAGGAGGGGTCGTTTGGCTGACTATCTTTTAAAATTTCTTAAGGCAACTGTGGGATGTACTGCACCATACAAGTTATTTAAAAAAAACAAACAACAACAGACAGTCAACAGGGCCAGGCCAGGGGGCAGGGGCCCAGCGCCCCAGCCCCAGGGCGGCGGCAGGGCGCCAGCCGCCAGGGCCTACTCTCAGCGAATGTCTTTATACGGCACTGGTGACAATAAAAGTATTAACCGCCTCACGATACTTGTACTTTTTCGAGTTTAATTTGCTTAAATATAGGTGTATTAATGTAATTAGCGTGATTTTAAGCACTTGTGAGATGTGTTTGTTTTCTGCCGGGTTGTTTGTTATCTGTGGGCTGAAAGCGCTCGACTTAAATTTTAGGTATTGTAGCACGCATACAACCCATTTGTTGCACTTATGTTAGGTCCTTGTCGGTCTTAAGGGCTTGACATGTGTTAGCAGTTAGACACATGTATATAGGTGTCCTCTGTCTTAGCTATTACTTCGGATTCGCCCATGGTTTTACAGTTGACACTATTCGTGTCTAACATACGTCGACCTCTCCTCTTAGGCCGACAATGAACTAATACAACAAGTGCAATAAATGGGCTAAAATCACGCTAATTACATCTATAAAAAAGCAAAGTAAACTCGAAAAAGCATGAGAATGGTAGGAAACTTGGCCTGATATGGTTAATAATTTTATTGTCACCAGTGCCGTATAATGACATTCATATACTGTTTATTTATTTTATAATTTTTATTATTCTTTTAGAAGTATATGGGCTGTATATATCACTAGTACTGAGAAATCCTACGAATCGTAGGATTTTCAAAAATTTGGCCCTAAATTATATATAAATATATATATATTTTTAAATCCTACGAATCGTAGGATTTTGACGCTTTTCTAGAAATGTCTTAGGCCTATGCTCTATGTCGCAAATGAAAGACAGAAAAATTATAGCCGAAAACGATATGCGAAACATGGCAATCCGTCGAAAACTCGCTGCACAGCAATCATTCAAACACAGCAATTCCAACAAACACACACAACCTTACTACTAGCTATATGTAACCTAAGTGTAATAGTACTGTAAACAGTCGTTTAGATAGTTAGCATTAGTTAACATGGCAGGCAATCCATCAGAAGTAGGGAACCCTTCACCGGATACGGTAAGGTGTAACCAACACAGGAATCAACATTCCTACACAAGGACATTACCTACATTGCATGAACATGCGCATGTACAGAATCTCGAACATAGGAATTTCGATACTTCTAATAATGTTTTAGATACACAAAGCGCAAGAACACAACATACTAACACACAACTATCAAACTCGCACAGTAATTACATGTCGTACACACCACCAGATTTGATGGATTGCTTCAATGGGATGCAATCGATGCGTAGCCACTAAATATTTAGTATGCATGATAAATACATAGTCTTTACCCTGTATATAGTCTGTTTACTCTGTAAATACTGTTATTTTACTGAATATTTACTGTAATGAAAGAAGGGTTTTAAAAAAACAAGAGGGAGAACGGGCGAGTCCGTTTTTATAATATAATATTACGGATATTTACATACAGTCCGTGAGGCGTGGAGTCCATGGCCCATTCACCCAGCCCCAGCCCCAGGCCCCAGACTCCAGACCCCAGGGGCGAGGGCCCAGTCGCCCTCTCTACTCTCTCTCTAGAGAGATAGAGTAGAGAGAGTCTGTTTTTGTTCTGAAATAAAATACCAGGGGTTTTTTTTGTTTGTTCTTGAATCTATTGATATGTGATGCTGTAAATATTTGTTCTATAGATTTTTTTTAACACTAAGATAGTACATATGTGTGTACCTTTATTTATTTTTATACATTGATCTTTGTAATTTTAAGTATAAAAAACAAACAAATAAATAAAAGTATTAGCGAAGGTCGCAGGATACAAGCCTTTTCAAGTTTTCTCACCGTAGTCAGGCGTCAGCGGTATGTAAATTATCTTAGCCTCCTAAAAAGAACAATAAGGCTATAATTTAGAAGGCTATGCAAATTGGTCTCAAGGCAACAAAACTCTCAGGACGCAACTTTCCGGAGTCCGGACTCCCAATTCCTGGAGTCTCAAGTGACTCAACTCTCAAGAAGTCTGAATCAGACTGAAGTCTCAAGACTCGAAGTGCAACTATTTATTTATGTATTTTTATTATTACAACAAATATGTGTGAAGTACAAATGTACATATGTACGTTTTTACTAAAAAAATAATGTATTGTAAAAGATGAAGTTGTATTTACATCATCATCATGATGGCAGTGTCAATACGGCTATAAAATATTTATGTACATATTTAGCATTCTAAAAAAATAAACAATATGTGCGGATTTGGATAATTTATATATATAGAATCATATCAAGTATTTACATATGTATTTACTATTTAGTATGTATGCACAGTTTATATATATTGCTTTTGTTTATTTTTATTTAAAAAAACAAACAAAACGAAAGCACAAATGTACAGTTATCAAATTGTTTGAAAAGTTTTGATCTTGTTTGGAAATTGAATGAGTTATAGCACCGAGTTTTTTTTGGTGAGGAACGAGTTTCAAATCGCAGTAAACGAGTTACTCAACGAGTTTTTGTTTTGTTTTGTTTTGCTACGAGTTTTGAAACGCGGCACTTTTCAAAGTGTGGCCAAAATGGTTTTGAGAGTCAGAAAAGAAAATACGAAGGGTTTATAAATACTTTGGGTTTTAGAGAGTAAAACAATACTCCGAAATCGGGAGTGATTTCATTGGATGTAAATATTAACTCTCTCTAAGCCACTAATGTCTTCTTTAAATATATTCCTTCTAGTCTTAGGGTTTAGGGTTTAGGGTTTTACTCTAAACCCTAAAGCCAATCAATGTATCAGAATTCTAAAAGACGCATTTCTGTGTATGCATTATGCTAAGCAGACGCTAAAAGTCTAACATTGCTGAATCCTTAGGGCTTTTTGTGTAGCTTTAGTAGCTCAGAGTCAGCACTCAGCAGCCCTAGGCAGCCGGCGAGTTTGTTCACTTTGTACTATAGGAGCGATATTGTTATATGTATTATTTAGACTTTACCAATCAATGTATCAGAATTTAAATGACGTAATTCTAAGGTGTATGCTAAGTAAAGTCTAAAATTATATTGCTAAAAGTCCCTTTGGCCTTTTTACTTTTAGGCCTGGCGAGTTTTCATGGCCCTCCCTGTTTATGAAAAGTCTCTCGAAAAATGACTTGTCTCATCACTCTCCAGCAGACAATACGTTAGCATATGCCACATACGTTTCGATTTCAAAGTGTTGCAACGCTATATGCATATATCTTGGTCTGATATTTATTTTTCTCACACTCGACCTGGATAATACACCTATAATGAAAAATTGGGCCATAGAGCGAGCAATCCACTAATGGGGTCAAAAAGTGATGACCGACGGCTGATCCCAACAGTCAACGGATCGAACCGACACACTCATTACTGAAATTGCACAATGCACACATAACAGCTCGAGCTTGACCAAGTTGACCGACATGCTTGTGCACAGTCAAGTATCAACAGTTCAACACCATAAGTACACACTTCTCTTAGCATATATAAGCCTTTCTGGCTGTTAATATGTGAATAACCCTTAACAGTTTAAAGAGTGTCTATCTAACGACTGAAAGTGATAGTGATGTCGAGGTACATCCATCCGCACACCGCCTATAGACGTAATTCCAGCGAAAAGATACTCGATAAAGAACTCAAGAGGATTAGAGCTAAGCTACCGTACAAGGTTAAACCACTCGTCTTTATACACCTTCTTTCTATTGCCCCGGCGCGGCGAAATAGGGTATTTTTGTCAATGTTGAGTGATTGTGATAACAGTGGAGAAGTGAGCGACCACACACACGACCTACTAGCATTAAAGCTGTCATTAGCACGGTAGTCAGCCGTTCGTAAGGTGTAAGCATAGCCAGACGCCAGATTTGCATTTTGCAAGCAGTTGTAAATATAAAAGCGATGACTGTTGACTGACCATAATCACGATTCCTTCCCTATGTTTGGCGGGTTAACCGACACTCATGACAGTGGCAGGGTGGTACAGGTGGCGCCGTGGCCGTCTATGGGAGGACAAATACTAATACCTGGATATTGGACCTCATATTAATTTTGGGGCCACTGTTTGCCACGAAAAATTTAAACGTTCTCCAGACTTCAAAATGTTGGAAGGCTAAACGTAATGAGGTCTTCTCTCCAGTCTCTACTCTCCAGGGAATTGCAATTTTTGCTCGGAGGACGGAGACTCCTCAATCCAGATTCCAGAGGGCCATGGAGTTTTTACTAATGGAGCGATATTGTTATATTCTTTACCAATCTAATGTATCCATTTTTTAAAGACAAAATTCTAAGGTGTATGCTAAATCCTTTTTTACTAAAAAAATTACTAGGCCTGATAACTGATAAGTGACAACTAAATATAAGCCCCAATCCCCATAACGGCCGAGAAATTTATAAAACCCCTAAAATCCAATATTTTTTTACACCACTTACAAACTGCATTTCAAAATAAAATGTAAAACCCTAAAACAATTAAAAAAAAAAGAAAAACACACAAAAAGGTATACTTTTAAAGAGTTTTACGTGTAGCCTGTAAATATATAGGTTCGAAATCTTTATTTACTTATAAATAAATACTTGTTTGTAACGAAACCGAGTTCGAGCATTACCAAAAACACTGAACAACATAATTGGATAGAACATTGCCCTTGATCATACCATCCTCTTTGTTGAGAAGTCTACTTGAGAACCGATACTTCCTACGATGTACGTTTCGACAAACTAATATGTACTACTACTTTGCAATGCTGCATGTGATTACACAATAATAAGACGTTGAATACATGCCACCGTAGTTCTCGCTTTATGGTATCCCTGCACGCGTGACCATCGTTATACTCCTGTGTGCACATCGAGCTGAGGCTACCAAAAAACACCGAAAACTTTCTCGCTTTTATTTGCTACACCTCAATTTCGTACAGATCAATTCCGGGACAATAAATATGGACTTGGTTTTGATAGTGCTGATCCTCCTTGTTGATAGCCTCGATCACAGGCCACTTGAGAACCGTCGACAGAACATGTATGAAATGATGCACACTTGTATCTTGGTCTGGGTTCAACATACCCTCACTAGGTGTACTATGGAACAGAGCCGTTGCCGTGTCTTGTATTCATTCTTGAAGATTAGGAATGCTTCTTATACTGCTAATATCTTGTCGTCGTGATTCACATCCACAAAGAACGTTCAGTATTCTTGGAAACTATTTGTCTTATCCAATAAAAATATTTCATTCCGCATGCAAACCATGTATCGAGTGATTTGCACCAACGAAATGGTCTACATCACAACAAAAACTCTTCCGAATGCTATATGAGATGGGAATAGGGTCTGCAAAATAATTTTGGGTTCGAATAAATCTGACCAGATCGACAAACATACACTTGCTTTATTCCTCTGATATATATATATATATATATTATAGATGTATATATAAAATTTTCCTTTCCAGTTCGAGACACGCGTTTAATGGCATGCGTTTCACCAGCAGCTTGTACCTCCTTTCAGGCTTGCCTCTTCCATACATTCTGGTATTTAGTATCTCGCACCATACACCAGTAGCCACACCAGCTCGAAGATCTCTACCCAAAATTCTTGTCCTCTCTTCAGATCCGCCAGTGTTGTATTCGATTCATCTCGAATTTACACACTTGTGCTCTCACATGTCGGATTGTCTGTGGAAGTGACATTACAATCATAGTGCTGCCACATGTGTTTGTGGGGTCGTGTCTCAACAATACCATCCAGCAACTGTTCTATACAGGAACCAGATTGAAGCCCTTGTACTTGCTTAGTGAACGCGTTTCAAATTGCTCTCCACGACAACGATCAACAGCGCACTACAGCGAAGTGGCCCATGCGTATATCTCACCGAATACTCTCTGGCCGATGTACGTGACAAAGTTTTGTTAACGATATCGCTTGTGCGGATACGACTTGTTCACTGCTTTGTGCGTTAGAATACCTCTCAATGGTTTGTTTGTGCATGTATCGTGATGGCCAGAGTGCATGGACCGTGCGCCCCTCACTGGTAGTAGTGGTGCTGAACTAACCACAAGCTGGCGCGATTCCAACCCGGCCCGGCAGTATTTGTACCACATCCGCGATTAGTCCATTGCTTACTTCCCCACGTATCACAGTACAAGCCAATTCCCACCTCCCTATCCAACACCTGAACAGCCCACGGGCATATCATATATACCTACCATGGTCACGCTTGGTGTGAGCACGTGATGCGATGGTACATACAACGCGAACCAGACCTCGGCCTCAGTTATCGCTCGCCCGAAGCTAATTGGTCAGGCATCAAGAGACACGTCTATTCGCAGTGCTACATAATACGAGCTATCCAGCCGGTGTGTACTGATGAGACGAAGCACCGCGAGTGCAACCCGGCAAGGGATGGAGAGACGGTGGAAAAACCAGCTGCTTGGGGGTCTGCATTTCTGCCAAAATACGGGCGTTTGTCTGATACCGAGTCGATATGCAGTGCAAGATCCTCGCGGAATAGGCTGGATTGTTTGGAATTGAACCATTTCCCAGCGAACCGATACGGAGAAGCGAGGAAGTGGTCCCTCTCACTCACTCATCTCGACGAATGGCCTGGGGAGTTTTGTCCTTTTTGTAATTGGAGTGGTGGTCCTTCCTGCGGTCACCATTCTATTGGTAGCATGGGGCAGGTAGGTGCAAGGGAGGTCGTCTCAATGTTGTATGTATAGCGCACGATGATGTTATGAAGCAGGAACGATTTACGATGCATGTGCATGCAGACCATTGCGATCAACCACTCCCAAGTGATGCGTACATTACACAGGGCATAGCTACAAGCGCATGCCGGTGGAGCTCGGGCAGCGGACAACACCCATGTACCATTAAACAAAAGAGCGATACCCGCGCATACGTCTTAGGAGTGTACGTGAGGAATCCAGCAAGTCAGCGTTAATCACTGCATCAATGACAAACCACTTGACTACTCAACTAAGTTAAGTGCAGAAGTGTAGCCGCCCACACCCACATCGTTAGCGTGTCTTCTAAAGTGTATCACTTCTTATGGGTTTAGGGTTTAAAGCCCTATGCTCTATGACCATACATACATAGGACAATCGCCTCCAAGAATAGTCTGATCTGCCATAGATAATAAGCATGTCTGGATAATAGTAGCAGACTAGTACAACAAAACGACTAGTTGGGCATTGGCGAGCCATCTGCTACCAATGCAGGTGTAACAATCAAGTTGGCATGCGTACAACGTGGATGGGCCTGTGGGAACGTATGTACTGTACCTGTCGATAGTGGTTGCGCTTTGGCTTTGGGGAAGAAGCCGAGTGCTTCTTTGGGGTTACTGGTTTCTGAGGAACAGATTGGACAGAACAAGTAATTACGTATCAGTTCATATTGCCAACAAAGCACAAGAGTCTGGGATGCCCCAATAGTATAAATATATATATATACATACACACACATATGTATATATACACCTCTATATATATATACATACATATATATTTAGAGATAGAGATATTAGAAAGGATGTAAGTACAGAAGTTGATAATTAAACTTGCTGAAATACCTATAGATTTCAACAAGTTCCGTGTATAGATATCGAGCTTATAGACGAACAAAGGCTACGCCCAACACACCTATATATGCACCACAAAGTTAATACATGGAAACCGAGAGTGTATACCTTCGAGTACATATTTACTACTTGTAGTAAATATAGGTGGTAGCGATAGCGATAGCGATGTGCATGCGCATTCGCCAAGCATATATATATAACTTCATATTCATACACCAACACTAGCAGGTTCAAAATAGTAATAATATATGAGTCAGGATCTGTAATATTTGTCTATGTACGTACTTACATACATTTGATATTTGTACAAAGCATTATGAAGTAGATCCATTCTATCACACAGTGAATTCCAACGGCACATTCCGATCAATGCACACAGTCACCGACACGCGCGACGAGCACATTCCAACACATCTGCACGCAACATACAGTGGGTGATGCGGGGGCAGTGTGTGTCTCATTTACACTCAAGGGTGCTCCTGTGGTTGCCATGGGAACGGCGGAGGCGGACTTCATCATCTGAGCCCAACTAGTTTTCTTCGCACCTCCCGATAGGTCCTCTTGTGTACCCGGAGTGTCCGGTTTTATGGGGCTGGACGTGTCCAAAATTTTAAGGACAGGTGCAGGTGTCGTCGCACTGGTGCTTACAGCAGCTTTAGGGTTGGCGTCCGAGAGCGATGCCGGGTTCTTATTCGCGGCAGTTGCCGATGTTGTTTGTTTCCTAAACGCGTGTGAGTACATTTATGAATGACAAGGCGTGCACCAGTATGATGGCAAGTTTCCAACATATTAATACACATGCTACGAACGGTAACATACACGTCCATGTAAATATATATATATAGTATGGGCGTATAATATATTCAATTATACCGGTCTGTTTACGTATGAATTATACATATAGGCCACATTTCACAATACTTACGTCTTGACACAGAGCGCGATCCGTGCAAACTTTTATACCACACGGAAGCAAAAAATAAATAAATAAATAAATGTGGAGACCATGTGGATAGCAAACATAGTACAAACAGTCCCCAATATACACACTAGCTACTCTCAAGGTTATCAAAATACACACTAGCAACTTCCAAGGTTATCAATATACACACTAGCTGCTTTCAAGGTTATCAATATACACACTAGCTGCTTCCAAGGTTACAGTGCTCCTACCTATGCCATATACTAGAAGCCTCGGCCAAAGACCCACAGAATAATAATATGTATGTGCATAAGTATATGCACATTTAGATATACAAATAACTCAATGCATACGTTATTGCGTCACTGGCAGTGCCGGTATCAGTGCTGGTTTGGTCCGAGGAAGCGCTCGCATCCTTCTTAGTGTGCTTGCCGGTGTGTTCGTCTTTGGGGCTGGTTCGGTTCCTAATACATGTATACCAATGCACACATGAGCACGTGTACGTTGATACGCAAGATGTGAAAACAGACTGGGAACGTGCATGCACCGTCGAATACTGAACAAGCCTGTGCAATTATTTGAAACGTACTTCGTACTGAATGTATGATATGATATACAGTGTGTGATATATATAGATAAAAAACATTTTTTGGTACTGAATCCGGGCTCAAGGTGGTTTATCATTGCCAACAAAGGTATATAGATGCAGATCGCAGCTACTTTTATGTGTTGATTCATACCAATTCTGACTACAGAAGCTCTTAAACCAGCTTCGTACTATATAAAAATAGGGATTCGAAAATCCGCAATAAATATATAAAATACTAAACCAGGTTTAATTTACTCAATTGATAGTTCTTAGTACCAAGCATGGAATATTCCTAGTTGCCTATACGTATACATACATACACATATATAATATAATATACATTGCGTGCACACTTGCAATGTGCTCTGCTTTCTTCTTCGATGTGTGATTGCGTGACGCAGTCATTGACGACCATTACTTGGCCAGTGCTGATGCACACACCACCATGGAACTTCTAGGCTGCACATAAGATGTAACAGAAGGCGTGCCTTTGCTCGGTGACTGTAAACCACATAACAGATACCTGACTCGTAAAAACAAACATACACACATATATACACATTTGTGATTAATTGTAGGGAAACCCTAGAACACGCTTACGCTGTAGTGGCATTGGCGCCTTTCTTCTGTGTCTGTTTGCGCTGTGCCGGAGTGGCATTCGCAGAAGCAACGGGGGCTTTTGATTGGCTGTCAATACTTGCTTTCACAATATCAGCAAGTTTATTGGCTGTCGAAGTGGTGCTCGAGGGTTGGGTGGATTTGATTGGTTCCGAATTGTCTGCGCATTTCCCATCGCCGGACAGGGGCGGAAAACTGTTCGTGTCGAAGGACGCTGGTTTGCTAGCCGCAGCGTTTGCCTTGTTGTTATTGTGTTGGTGTGAGTTATGATGCTGATTGCCGTTTCGGTGCGTGTGGTTCTTGTAGTTGTGGTTACGGTGGTGGTTGCCATCGCCACCGTGACTGCCGTTGCTATGGTAACCCCCATTCTTGTGGTTCTTGTGGTGCCTGCGGCCCCCTTCCCGGTGTGTGCCTCCGTGGCTGTGCGAATGCCTCGGGTTACCACCGGCATCACCATTGGCTCCGTTAGCACCACCTCCATTCACACCGTTCTCGCCCACTCCAATGTCTCCGTTGCCCGCTGCCCCGTGCGGCGTCCCTGAGTGTGCGTACCCATCGTACTGTGGGTGTGTCTTCCGTTGCTTAGCACTGCCATAGCCCCCGTTCGCGTATGCGTTGCCATGGTCACCGTACTCGTGCTGCATATCACCGGCCTCATCCTCTGCGCCACCTCTCGTCTCCCCGTCGTTGTCTGTGTCTTGCGTATACGCGTGTTGGTGTGCATGCTCAGATCCCTCCTTGGTGTGTTGATACTTCTTCTGATTTTGATGCCATTCCCGGTTGCTATGGCGACGGCCACCTCGTGGGTAGCCGTTGCTTGAGTGTTGCGAGTGGCGTCGTGGGTCGCCGTTGTTCATGTGTGCGTAGGGCTGTGGGATCAGTTGTGCAATGTAGTTAGCGCCTTGGCCACGAGACATTATTGATAAAATCAGCCATACCAACCTAACCATATCTAATATATCACAGAATCTAGTTCGCAAACACACACACACAAACAATACTATATATATACATACCTGCTGATACTGCGGAACCATGCCGTTGCCAGGGTAGTACTGGGGCATCCATCCAGGGTAGTACATGGGCTGCTGGTAGTACATGTCGGCCGAGTACATCTCCGCGTTGTCTGTGTAGACTTCCGCGTACTTGCTGTCCTTGCCCACACCCATCTGCGGCATATGCATCGGCATCATGCCCATGTGGAACTGGCCGTCCATTCCTAATATGGGCACCTCCATACTATTGGGGGCAAAGCCGGTACTGCGGAGGAGGTTTTCGGACTTGATGCGGGCCTTAATAGGAGCTTCCTGTGCGGTGGAGAGGTCGGCGTAGGTAAAGATTGCGATGGGTGAGTATCCGACTCACATACAATACAACAGTACGCAAGCATTATACATGTTCAAACGAACCATGTAAAGCGTAAGTAAAAGGCAGACAGCATATATACTGGTACGAAACACAACGGGCGCGTCACGCTACAATCGGAATAAGACACTACAAGTTAAACACATCTCCTTTACCAAATGTAGGACCCACGGAATCAGCTGTGGTATCTACACCTAGACGCAGTGGCTAATCCTGATTGGTGAACGTCGCCCAAAGAATGGGCACACCATCGCCGAGAATAGCAATCGAGGTACCTACCCACCAACGCAGCTGGTAAAATGACAGTTGCTTGCAAAGTGACTACCATACCAACAATACCAACAAACGTAATGTGGCCTTATTAGCGATAGTCGGCTATAAGGCGGGTGGCTACCGATATACATACACACCCAACTGACAGTCGGCCGTCATACTGAACTAAACACACGCCGTCGTACATACCCTAATCTTCATATCTCGAATGGAGAACAGGGCTCCCCGGGTACTCTCCTCATTGTCGAAAGTCACAAACCAGGTGTTTCCTATATCGGCCCTAACTCCTGTGGGAAGAGGACAGGTGCTGTCCCGTTTGAAGATCTCCAGGACATCGTCCTCTTTCGTCCCCTCCGGCGTGTCGCGGATGATGATAGTTGTGCGTTTGAGCGAGTGCACTGGACGCACTTTGTCGAGGGTGTCGTTGAGCTGTAGGTAGGTGTGACATCAGAGAGTTATTAATAGATATCAGCAATCTATGAATAGATACAGTGTGGCTGATGATGATGGTTGTGCGTTTGAGCGAGTGCACTGGACGCACTTTGTCGAGGGTGTCGTTGAGCTGTAGGTAGGAGTGACATCAGAGAGCTATTTATAGATATCAGCAATCTATAAATAGGTACAGTGCGGCGGATGATGATGGTTGTTTGTTTGAGCGAGTGCACTGGACGCACTTTGCCGAGTATGTCGTTGAGCTGTAGGTATCTGTGACATCAGAGAGGTATGAATAAAAAATAATTACAGACTTACCGCTTCTATATATCTACTATCTACAAGAACACGTATAAACATAGGCCTATGCACATAGCTACTACAGTGTATCATACTACGTCTCAGTATTGGTCGATACACCATCCTGTTGCCCTGCGCTTACCTCGACCATTTCGGACGCTTGCAATACAGAGGTGATCAGACCCACATCCTCGGTCAGCGAGCGCACTAACTTGAAGCTGGCCACCGTGGAGATCAGTACAAACTGATCCGAGTTCATTTGCGACACAAGGTACGGGTCTTGTTTGAGGTTCTCGAGCGAAAAGTAGTACTCCAGTTGCCTTTGAAGGGCGTCGCGGATGGCATTCTCTGTGGATGTGAAGGGACGTATGGTATTATTGGCGGGGCCCATATAAATAAGATAGCAAGTAAATATGCATGTATGTATACACACACATACACACATATATATAGATAGAAAAGAATCACAGATGTCTTGTAGGAAAGAGACATGTGTCAATAGGAAACACAATGTGATAGCTGTAAACTAGAAGGGTAAGTCACAGATTGGAGAGTGTCAGAGAACTACGGGCTGATATGAATATGTATACATACGACCGCAAGATAGTTCGAAATTTACATCGGCTATATATATATATATATACACACATATATACAGGTGATACGAAACAAAAGGAGTTATAAGTAGCGAGTTGGCCGAAAACAACAGACCACCATATGCATCGGTTATTTGACAGTCGTACTTCTGGGTTGTGTGGCTGTGGCATTAGCTCGCGCTAGCGTTGTATAGTTGTGATGTTAGAGAGGGATAGTTGTGTCAATGTAGGCACTATCGGGCTGATCTATGGCTAGGTGAGTACATACTCGGTTCTCAAGACAAAAAACCGCGATGTGTTCGTGAATGTATGGATAAACGTTATGTTCATAGGCGTTAATAACGAGATGCGCAAGTGTGTACAACACATATTCAGGCGACAAGCGCAAACACACATGTGATGGGAGCAAGTCCCTTGGGTTCTGAGTATCTGTGGTTTAATAGTTATACACAGCCACACTTGCAACTGCATGTGTATGGCTCGCGGGGCGGAACTCATTTCTTCACTATGCTCGATGTCAGAACAGATGTAGAAGCATGTGTATATATGGGACATACATATTCGATCTTAGAACAAATTTACAAGCATGTTTATATAAGGCACACATATGTTCGATCGTAGAACAAATATAGAAGCATGTGTATATATGGCACACACATACTCGATCGTAGAACAAACATAGAAGCCTATGTATATAAGGCACACACATATTTGATCTTAGAACAAATATAGAAGCATGCCTACAAATGCTTTCACACGTAACATCGCAAAATGTATATTAAATATTGGGGGACAACTCTGAGATAAATGGTTGCATAGGGTTATTCAGGACAAAAAGCGTATCTGCCTGCATATGTGAGAATTACTAAATGTGACTATGACGTGTAGATGTGCATAGACGACTGACATACCAGAAACTCTATAGTAACAGTTGCGGGATTTATTCGTCCCTTATAAAACGATTTCAGATATGGTGTGTATACGAGTTGGAAAAAAGTATTGAACGAATATTCGAGAAGTTCATAGCGTTATAAGTATGTGTATGTGTATATGGCATAAAAGAGGCACATTTACAAACAATTCGAAAGGCGTTTATATTTAGATACTTATAATAGTGATTTGTGTTAATTTATGTGAGTGAACATACACCTCGAGACCTATGCATAAGAAACAGATACCTCAATTTGACACACACACCGTGGTTGCCTATTTAAATGCTATACACATTTGTGTCTATATCCAGGAAAGCACATACACATCTCTGGGCACATATCGATCATAGCGCACACTTATATATTACTTAGGCGTCCACATGAAAACATGTAAATATGTTTACTATACAAGGATGCCTGAATTATACTGTTACCCTGAAGCATACATACTTGAAATGAGCACACGAACGTTTTCATTCACATACCACATATATATCAACCATTTCCATACTTTGTGTTTGTAGGCGATATACTTACACAAACATAAACATTAACATATAGTTTAATAAATTCATATGTATCGAGGGTTTCAAAAAGTATTCTCACGTGAAGCACATTAATGGCCTTAGATTTTCGTGGATATCCAGCTACGACTTGGTATATGATATTTACACAAACTAACACTTATTTAATCGTGTTATATAAGGAGATACACTCAATAAGTTCGTGATAGGCAATTATATTGACAGATGCATATGCATGTGCAGTCAAACATAAAACTCTAGATTGAACATCAGGACATATGTATGTTCATAGCCACACATACGTACATGTAAAAATACGTTTATATACATTCACGTGTCCATTCCTGTACATACCTTCTTGTATATTCTGAACATGTCTCAGATGGGTGTATAAGGTTACATATATAAATATAAATGTAGATATTCAGAGGTCAAAGAAATGTACGCACACGCGCCTCACCTCTCCATAAAAGAATTTGTAGAAATATAGATGGGCATATATGAATATGCATATATATATAGTGAAACATACACACTGCACCCACATAAGCACCCACACACGTGCATATATATATATATATATATATATATATTGTCTGATGTAAGACTTTGTGTGTATACATACATACACAAATTCAATCCGATACTATAAATGCAGAAATACATATTTAAAAACCGATGTGTTTTTATCTATGTGTGCACACATATGTAAATATGAATTCAAATTTACACATGGGTGCTATATATATATATATATACAAACAAACACACATATATATATATACAAACAAACACACACATATATATATACACACACACACACTCGCACACACACACACACACACACACATATATATATATATATATATATAATATTCCAGAGAATTATTTCTGTTACAACCGCGTATTCACTCACGTGCCTACCTTCGAGTATACACACGTCCAAACTCTGCATATGTCGGCTTATTCCGTGCAAATACATATAGGTATCTAGACACTCGACAATGTCACATACAGACACAAATACACATGTAGACATTCACATCAATATTCCAGTTGCTCATCACTGTCACATATACACGCATCGACTCTGAATTAACTAACAATATAACATACGGATATACACTTCTCCAAAAATATATAATCTCACTCATAGACCCACCTTTTAGAACGGCGGTGGGGGTGAAAGGAGCCACAGAACTGGCATCTGCCATTCGGTTACTAACAATATATGAACTCTCTATAAGTACATCTATATTACTATTCGTACTATCTGTGGTCGTTACTTGTGTATCTACACTACTACTTCTATCCGCTTCGCTGTCTTGTAGTGGTGCCGGATTCTCGGCACTGTATCCGTGAGCCATTGTACAGTGACAGTAATCAACTAAGGTGTGTAATTCTCTGTATACAACGCCTTCTCAAATACGTATATTACACTTCGATGTGTATATATCTATCTATCTATAGATACATGCATATACAAATGCACTTTTTCAAGTCGCTGAAATCTGCTGGCCGATGGGTAGCCTGCATGCACGCTCCAGGTTGTGCAAGTTTGTACGGGAACAGACAATAACAGGCCTACTACTCACTATGAGACCTAAGTTTTATATACAAGGGCAACACTCAACCTACGACACGCACAAGACAACGGGTGTGATCTGGTATCGTGCTGCTTCTGAGAGAGGTCAAGTCGACTGGTTGCTGTTGTATGACTGTCCAAAGGAAATGGTGTCGCACGTCGGCGCGTGTCTCAGCAAAAAGTGATCTTTTTGGCATTTGGGCCAACATTTTCGGAATACGTGTCGCAAATTCAGTGGATGTCGTAAAGAACTCTACTAATCGTCTGAAATATACAAAAGGTACACAGCAGTACCTGAATATCTGTCGTAAATGAGGTATGTTGTAAACTTGTACACAAGTCGTCTGAAATATTCACACGGTAACCAACATTTCCAAATAATGTGTCTCAAATTCACACGACGAGGTGAATTTCTATACTATGTAGTCTACTGAAATGTACAAAAAAAAGTAAATGTAAAATAAAAACTATGTACTGGTAAATATGAGACTTGAACTACATTTCAACAAGGATTCAGGCACATAATAGTAAACGACAATAAAAGATGTTGTAAAATAAGAATCGGAAACTATGACAATTGGGGTGTCCGAGTGTCCGACAACCACTTGTCTGTATTTATTTCAAAATTGAATGTTTTTTATGTACTGGGAGCGTGCATACTTTTATTTATCATCATCATGATATGACTTGATGACTCATGCACAGCTGTTTTGCAGTCTTATCACCTGTGGCTGAGGGGCTATGGATTTTCGGTCGATATCTCGTACACGAAATACATAAGTGATAACTGTGTTGACGCCGCATCTTTGCTGCATAGCTCAGTAATCCAATGACAAAGACAGAGAGACAGACAGAGACAGAAACAGAGACAGACAGAAACTGACAGAGAGTGAGAGAGACACACACACACATATATATATAGATATATATTATATATAATATATATATATATATATATATATATATATATATATATATATATATATATATATATATATATATATATATATATCGTAATAAATCAAGACACGGATGCATTTATTGTGTGCGATAATAAATGGCAGTGTATAGTAACTGTACACTTACATGACTACCAGACACAGACACATAGTGCGGAAGCATATTATTTGAAGGAAGAGGCTATGTCAGCAGACTGAGATTCTGACAAGAGAGTGTATACAGCCAGTCTGCCACCATTGTTTTTGATTCTTTAGGTGGTTTTTGGCTGTGTCAACAAACCCTACCCGTATTAACATTGCCGGATTTAATATGTCAAATACGAATCTCATTCTTCCGGACGAAATATTTCACTTCAAAATGAAATCGGAAAGAAATTATATCTACTTTTTGGGTCGTGAGAAGTCATCTCGCAACTCGCAAGCCTTCAGTTTTTCACTATCTCGCAGTATGCAGTGATATCGGCTTTCAAGCCACATTCTCGAAACTGAACTTTTATTCCCGAATTTCATTTTTATTCCCCTTCTGTTTTTACTTTTAGAGCTGGCGTTGAGACCGTCCCTAATAAATATAAATAAAATTCCTTCCCCCCAAGCCCAGGGTGCCCATGTTCCTGTGCCACGAGTGACCAGTCCCCCACGGCTATCGCCTATCAGACGGCTATTGGATAAAACGTATGAACTGATCAAATAAACGTTTACATTCATCGTATATATCGTACTGGCCTATGGTTGACCAACTTGACACTACGGCCACGACTCCGAGAGGGTGTTTATTTGGAGGCCTGAGCCCTGAGGCCGTGGGCCTTAGGTTCAAAGTTTTTATAAACGTTTTCCTCGGATATATTTCCGTTCAAAATTCCATTTTCAAGTCATTTGAGTTTTGACCCATATTTACGATGTCGAGCAAATAAGCGTTTACGCTTATTGTGGTTTAGCCCCTAGCTCCCACAGTCGTGCCTGGCTTTTAAAAAAAATATCTGCCTGATTCATAGGTTCTGTTTGTGTTTTTTTTACAATATATAATATATACAAACAAATACGTTTAGTTGAACGTATTTATTTACTATTTACAGTCTATTTTCAAATTTGGAAGTCTATGAACTTACATAAATAGTAGGCTGATTCTTTTGAAGTTAATTTTATATTATAGAATTGTTAACGGTTTTATTCAAACGTAACTTTTCAGTTTTTGAGCAATAGCAGTTTAGAACTGAACGATCTGTCACTGTCGTTGTTATGAGTGGCGCGCTTGTGGCGGTGCTTGACTCCTTGTGCGGCCTTTTGGCCAAAGTATCTTAACCAATCATATTGCGAGACTTAAAATAGATGACGCATTTAGCAGGTGAAAAATTGACACGAACTCACGATAAGAATCTTGAAGAGCCCTACGGAGCAAAAGTAAACATGCTCACATCTCGGCGTCTTTTGACTTTCTGGGCCAATGTTGGAACTTGGAAGAACTCACTCGCACGGACTCAGTATAGAAGTCTACTGCCAGAACTTTTCCCCGGACTGCCGAGTCGGCGCCGACTGGACCATACCGAGCCTCAGGGCCCTGGGCCCTGGGGTTAACTCTCTCTGGTATGGGCGATAGACACTGGTTGACTGGTATTGCAACGACGGCGACATTAGCACCCCGGTATTTATTTTATTTACAGCACAATCCGTTGACTTCTGGAGTCCAAGCCCAATTGACAAAATATTTTGTTTATTTATTATCTCCGTCTGTTGTCAATACATGTGGTGCTAATAACATGCATGGGTAGGCGCGTGGTAAAGAGGCTAATCTTTAAATACAAATACGAAGTGTTTCAAACATTCCTTATCATTATATGTACATATATTGCAGAAACTATAAGTCTCCCTACCATGTTGACCAAGCCACAAATCCTTACAAACTTAACGCTGGAAGCTACGAAACTTCACACACCACAACTCTCCGCAAACTTTTCGCTAGAAAATATAAAACACCCGCCACAGTCACACCGAAGACGGAGGAGTAGCGTACGACAACGGTCTCTCTGGTATACTAAGTGCAATGAATTCACACCTGAGAAATTAGTACACAGTATCACACCCACAGTCACAGTACTACACAATAGACTACCGGATGTGCGTGATGCATCGACCAGTTTAAGGCTCAGGGCGCGTCAAGAAACAGCCACCAACACTGTATCTAGGCAAGGAATGTTCAAACATAACATTGAACACTTCGCATTGTCGCGTACAAGGCAACTGTTACTCGAGGACGAGTATGCATATTGCCATTCAAAGGGAACTCCACCCAGACAAATATGTGGCCACCAGAGTTTACCACACGCATTCCGCGAGAAGCGCCCGGAGATAGTCGACTTGGAGTTATTTCTGTACGACAGTGACGAGGAGACCGAAAGCACAGAGGATGAGGATATCATGATGTATGACTCGATAGATGACCAGGACGACTATGCAGACGCGAGTACACCTCGTATCCAAGTGTCGCCTGAAATAAACGCAAGGGAGGAAACACGTATATGCACCTCTCCTGATGTAAATATGAGTACAGGTGAATTGTGCGAAGAGCACCGGATTTCGTCGGGGAGTGATAGTGGGATGGATCTAGATGGGCACAGTGATGACGATTCTCTGCACGATCACGATATTGACACCACCGATGAGTGCACCGACAGCGACGATTCAGCCGAGCTCGAATGTACAAGCTTACGCAGACTTAAGAGTCAAAGCCAGGGATATACTTTGGATATGCATAGGAATAAGAAAAGTATCTATACGCTGGATGGTGTACAACCCCAGGCATGTCAATTGGCGGGGGACAGAGACGAAGGCTTTGGCGAGAGGTCGAGTTGGGAAACAGTAATCACGCATTCGTCGGACGTACGTACCCTGAAAAATGATAGGATTTCGGCGTGGGTGGATGTTTGTAAATATGCATAAGACATCAACATGCTAGTGGGGACTCGGTACTATCTGAGCCATTCTGAAGTCTATCTAAGCCACACACCATACTACCGCTAGGCGAGAAGAACCCGAAATACTCGATCTCATGCAGCGCAAACCAGCGCATTATCAACACACTCACACCCAGACCCAGACCCAGACCCAGACCATACAATCGATGCAATCAACTTGTACTCAACACACACACAGCAGATTCTAGTGGGGCGTTGGTCAGCAGCGCTCAATATCAGTCGGTGTTGGGTATAGACCTAGGAATCCATCGCAACAACACTGCTACGCACAGATAGAATGGAATAGAATCTATCCCACCCATATTGCCAGTACAATTCAGTATCCATCGATAAGTAGCATGAGCCCACATTCGCACGGCATGCAATTGCGCAGGATGCTGCGATAGTATTTGCCCGGGATGGGTGTATGGAACTACTGGTGGGGGCAGGATTAACCCTTTTGTAGTAGTACACGTCGGCTGATATGCATGTACGCAGCGAGGCGTGGTACGTTTCACCATATACTACAGTAATTGAGACTGAGGGTACTAGCTACCTACATGATACGAATATGAAACCCAGACCGCCACTTAAGACCAGTACATGTACTCTTACAGAGTTAAGATAATAATAACCAACGATGACATAGTCACCTCTCGAATGCAAATCGAAAACTCGGCTAATAGTGTATAGGGGCGACTCCCCAGCTCGAATTCGCCCAACACAGCGGAATAAAATAAACCCATATATGATACATGCGCAAGCGATTACTCGCCTTGTCAACACAATACTTCATCTCTTGCGAACGACTGATTATGTTCCAACTCTTGTCAATAATTTGGTTTATTTCTCACGGCGGGACTGTCACTGTTGAGAGAAACAGTTGTCGATATCTGTGGCGAAAAAGTCCGCTCGAATGTACGAAACACAATAAACGAGATTAAACATACACATAAAACATGAACATAATAATACATATATACATACATACACACAAATATAAACACGTAAACATATATACACATACACATACACATACACACACACAAATATATATACACACACATATATACACATACACGTCGACACAAAAACACACGTGTACACACATACACAAATACATAATATATATATATATATTAAAATGTAATATATATATATAATATACAAACGTACATACAGCCATACATATATATAATTCTCGCACAAATGCAAACAAAAGAAAATATATAATCCGTTTACATATATATATATATATATATATATATAATATAGAATACTATGTATATAAT